TCAAAAAACGAAATTTTCCAAAATATGAGAAGAAAATTTAAATAATTCATTAAAATTTATTAATTTTAACTCTGAAATGTAATTTTGATATAAGTTGATTGCAGAGGAAAAGAACAATTTTACTGAAATATTCAAAAATATAGCCAAATATAAATCTAAAAATAATTTATTAGACCATTTAAATAATTACATAAAAATCTCAAGCGTGAGTAATGCTTTAAAGAATTTTGATAGTCTAACAACCAATATAAGTATCTTACAATTATTTTTGTAGTTCAACAAAATTATTTTCAGATCTATAGCTAAATTTTAGATACTTCAACAAATTTGCAAGCAACTTAAAAGACAATTTGTGACAATTTGTTGTCATTGTTGTAGCAAATGAGCAAATATGTATATTACGCTTCACGATGTTCTTAATTATTTGCGATTTATAGCAAGCCACAAGAAAAGGCTGCAAAGGACAGCGAAGAAAGACGGGGGCAGCGAAATCTTGATAAGAAAAAAGGAAAACAAATATGGCGCGAAGGGGAGAACTCGCGCAAACTGCGGAAGAAAGGTCGAAATTTCCCGTATATGGGAACACGAGTTCGGGCATGGAGGTCGGCCGGTCGATCGACCGAAGAATCGATCTGAGCCCACGCATGATCGTCATGCGTCGATCGGGCAACGTGACAAACGGTCGCGGAAAAATACGAAGACGAACGAGTGAAACCAGGTAAGCGATTGAGGGGAGGGGAGGGGAGGGGAGAGAGGGGGGGCAGGGAGAAGGGAAGAGAACGGATAAGAGATAATGAAGAGATTGGAAATAAAGAGAAACGACAGAAATAAATAAAGAAGGAAATAATACCGAAATACAAAAAGAAAAAAAAAACAAAAAGAATGGAAAGAAAAAGTAACTCAATAGATCATTTTTATTAATTTAGATTAACTTTAATGTGTATTTATAAACTTAACCTTTGGAGAACAAAGGTACATTTTTTAAATCTTACAGCTTTTCTCCTTGAGTAAGACTTTTATAATTCATTACTTTATTGTATTTCTTGACTCAAAATGTGACTGTTTCAGTACTATATTAGTACTTTTCTGCAAAGATTAATTTACTCTTTTTTCTAATTCTTACACTAAGAAAAAAATTCTTTTTTACTAATTGAATTTAGTCCGTCTTTATTTCTTTCGATGAAAAATATATGTATTTAAATCACATATTTATTATACTTAAATGCATACATTTTCAAACGAAAGAAATAAAGACAAATTAATTACATTGATTTAGTTAAATAAATAATTTAGTCAAATGAACAATTTTTTCCTTAGTGCAAAACTAGGAAAATATCAAAATTAAGTTAAATCAAGATTAATGTTAATCTATCTTTGTAGAAATTAGAATTACCAGCCATACTGTTTTAAGAATAATACGTATACTTTTTTTTTAAATGTAAAACTCTTCTGGTTATTAGTTATTGCAATTGTATATTTACATTAAAATTACATTAATAAGAATTGCTAGTAAAATTTGTTTTCTAGAAATTTTATTTTATTAAACCTCCAATTAACGCATAAAAAAGTAAGACTCCTTCTCATCTCAGAATATCATCTTTATTTAACCTTTAAGTGAGGAACAAATTTTATTTTTATATAATATACTTTTTATATAATTATACTTTTTAATAGTATTATATTATAAAGTTAAATGTATTATATTTACATTCTTTACATTATTTATATTCTTGATGAGACAGAGAAATGTAAAAATAATGAACTTTAAAACTTCTGTGAATTCTTTTCATTTTCCTTTCCCAGAACAAGGTTTTTAAGATAACGATTCATAAAGTGCTGTAGTCATCTATCTATTTAAAGGTTAAAAAGTATACATATATATTCTTTTCTTGCGATTCAGATATAATATGTTTGTATATTTGTTTATATTTATGTACTTGCATATTTTTTGTGTAATAAGTATATAATATTAAAAGTTAAATGATCTATATTTAGTCTTTAATTAAAAAATATACATATACACTCTTTTTTTGTGACATGAGATTTTGTAACCTGCTCTTTTCCTATACTCCAGAACTGAACTTCTTGCGCGATTCATCTTTCTTCTTTTTCCCTTCATATTGGAGAGAAAGAAACAGATGAAGAAGAGTGCAAGAAGTTCCTGAGCTATAGAAAAAGAACAGGTCTATGGTAACCTGAATAGAAATGGACATGAGAGATGATCCTTTGCAAGAAGAATGAGAGCACTAGAGATGCTCATTTCTACCAATATAGATTAATCTCGGTTCAACTTACTTCTCATCTTTTTGTAATTCTTAGAACTAGAAAAAGATGAAAAGTTAGTTTACCAAAATTAAAATTAAACTACATTGGTAGATACAAGAAACAGAGAACTCGGAGGAAGCATTACACGAGAAGTAGATGATACCGATGAGAACGAAAGAAGCACTGCTGGAGGGAGAGGATAAGAAGGAGAGAGGCCGAGGAAAGGCGAGTGGGAAGACAGAAATTCGCGGAGGAATAAGAAAGAAATCAGCGCGAGAAGAAGCGAAGGAGAAGAGGGAGTGAGAACACAGCAAAACGGTTTGGCGAGGAACGACTTGCGCGCTCGCGGGTACAATAATAATCTGACTGGTCTATTCTATTATTCTCACCGTCGGTCCTCTGGATGTTTATGCTGCAGCCGACGTCGATCTTGCACGTACCGTGATCCATGGTCATTTAATCGGTCCCTCGCACCTCGTTCGGCACCATAAAACGCGACCCGGCTTCGTTAAATTATCACGGCTTAAACGGGGCCCTGCACGCGGTCGGATTAATCAGCTCGAAACGCGTATGTGAGAGAAGGAATATAGAGAAATCGCGAGAGAAAGAGAAAGAAAGAGAAAGAGAGATGAAAGAGAGAGCGAGAGACGGTGATCGACTCGCGCGACCACGACGGTTGACAGTTACGGAAGCGTTCGCATTCAAACTCGCGCGGCGACCGGTCAGGCCTGCCGGATCCCGATCCCCTTCCTTCTTCTTTCCAAGTCCACGACGACGACGCGGTCTCCTCGTTCCTTTGTCTCCTTTTTCGCCGTCTCTCGTCGGGAATTCTCGCTCCCGGGAACCGTGCACGGTTCTCTTCTCTCGGCTTCAAGGCACGCCCGTGCGTATCTGACCGCCGAGCGGTTCTTGCTCGTCTCCAGGCCGCGAATATTTCGCGCCCCGCGTCGCCGTTGTCCTCGTTCTCGCCGTCGTCGTCGTCGACGAAGCCAGCAGCGCGAGCGAGCACACGAGCGCGCGTATCCGCATACGCACACCGACACGTTCACGATCCGCGCGTCGCGTACCAGCCGAGTTGCACCCGCGACTCCGGACGTTTTTAGGTATCTCGCGCGTCCGTTGGGACGGCCGTTCGGTTCGCTTTCGTGCCGGGATACACCGCCAGTGTCCGTTATTGACAACGGAAAGACTACGAGCGCCAACTCCCGGCCGGCGCGCGCTGATCGCCGTGACATCTGCCGGCGCGAGGTCGCCGGACCGATCAGCGCGGAAATAACCGGTCGCGACATCTGTTGCGCAAACGGGAAAAATGCTATACAATCTGCATCCGATAAAATTGTACTTTGCTCTCTGTACCGATTGCGGATTTTTTTCTTGTTTAAAATCTAAAACTATAAATGAAGGATAAACATTAATGGAGGAATTGATTGCAAACACAGATTTATCCTGTAGAAGTCTGTGGTTGCAAATCGATTTGCATATTTTCGAATCTTTTTAAAGTTATGAGATATTGTGACACAAGGAATATATAATTAATAAATTAAATTATTTATTATAACACTGAAAACGTATGAATTGATTTGCATTTAATTACATTCAGTCCGAATATAGTTTTTCTCTGCAGTGTGAAAAATACTATTATATTATTTTTTTTTATTATTGAGAAACGAAATTTAAATATTTTTGGACCTTATGTATTTTATGCTTTATTTAGCTCGTGATATTCAATATTGTAATTCAATTCGCTAATGTTTATATACTTTTCGTTTTGTGCAGAATACATTGGTCGAATTAAAAATACTTAATAATCCTCTGGTGAACAAAAATTCTCATACTATGTCGAAATATTTTTAATAATATGAAATATTATTAAATTCATATTTTTTTTCATATTTTTAATATTATGAAAAATATTTGAACTCTTCAAACTTTTATCAATTTCCTTTGTAGATAATGGAATATTTATTTCAAAAATTATATAGAAAAGTATATAGAAAAACACATATCTGCTATATGCAAATATAATTACTTATATACACATAATTACATAAATACATAATTACTACTATACAGAATTGTAAAAAAAATGAAATCTTTCTCAGCATTTCTAAAAAATGTTTTGAGTTATATAAAAAAATTTAAGAAATTTTCTAAAAAGTTATAAAATTATGAAAAAATTCTGAAATTTATAATGTAACATATAAATATATTGAAAAATTATACGAAGAATTCTAAGAAGAACTTTCATCAAAGTAAAACTAAAAAGAAATTTCGAGTAAATCCGTTATTTTAATCGATAATTAACTTATCAAGTCATGTATTATCTATTAATAAGAATAGAATTATTAATTATTTTTTGTTATTTAAAATGAAGAAAATGTTTATAGATTACAAAATATTGTATATTATATTTGAAATTTGTACTTTAATTCTGCTGATTAAATTAATCGCTGATTAAGTTAACCAGAGTTACACTAAAGTCGCTTTAATTATTTAGATACTTTTAACAATTAAAATATTGATAATTAATGTTTTACTATATTAAATCATATGAATATAATATGAATATTGATATTTTGTTAATTAATTATTAATATAATACATTAAAATACTTATTAAGGAACATTTTGTTTATTTTTCTATTTCAATATTTCATATTTTCAGCAACTTATTGTGATTCTGTGAATACACAATATAATCTCGATTTGACAAATTTTATGAAATATTTTCCCTTTTTTCCGATTTTAATTTTTCGTGTGGTTTATCTTTACAGCTGGCGATTCTGTGACTTGACGAACTAACGTTTTCAACTCTTCCAGATTGAAATTGTCTGATTTTAGTAATCGTTCGATGATGTCCACCGCCCTGCAATAACATAAATCACAAAATTATTTTTAATCGTGTCGAATTTGATCTTTGTATTGTATAAATGTGACCAATTTGATCAAGATTGTAATATCCTCACACATCTTGGCCATTAGCTTCCGGTAGACGTGAAGGTAACTCTCCGACCTTAAATTTTTCATATACCTACAAAAATTTTCTTATTTTTAGAATTCTTACAGTACAATTAGACTAATAATTGTTTTATTTCAAATTTATTGACATAATTTTTACAAACAGAAGTTTTTAATGTACGTGAGACAAAATTACATTGAGAAAAGTTTCTGATTGAAAATGGATAAACTATAATCGAAGATTCTGATATCAATCAGAATTCTGGTTATCTCAACTAGAATTATAATAAATTCAATTAGAAAAAATTTGATTTCCATTTTCATCCAGAATTCCAATTTATGCAAGTAGACTCTTTTTCCAATGTATATATATATAT